AGATTTAAATCACTCATGAGCACGATAAGTATGTATAATCAAAAATTAATCCGTAATAAACAAAAAGCAATAGATTTAAAATTTATTTTTGCAACCACTAAAATAGCACATATGATTCTTATTGGGTTCGAGTAAATTCTAATAAACACTTTGGTGAGTAAAGAACCAATCATGTTGATGCCCAAGGAACATGATAAACATAATATAGTAGAATCCAGGTAAAGGCATAATTCTTGGCACTTTTATGAAGTTCAATGATCTAATCTGCTTTCAAACACCAATTTAGAAAATGTTTTATCCTAAAAAACGTTATGACTGTTAAATGACATGAGAAATTATTAGAGTAAAGCTAAAAATTAACCAAGAACTTAAATTGCTTGAGAAAAAAATGTACCACAGAATAAAGAAACTTCTAGCCGGAAACTTCTGTCCACTCTGTTGCTTCGTTTACTGCATTAAGAATCCACAAACATCAGCATAAATTCCTTAATACGGAGTATATCATTATGCACTATAACTCATAAGCAAATATAAATACATTAGATAAGTACTGCATTAATTCCTTCGACATCTTCCAAATGGGCATGATGATGTAAAAAAAGATACACAAGTGCTTTAATAACTTCTTCAACAACATCATCATCAATATATGTCATGTTTAGTACCATCCATCCCTAGACGTCTATGAATCTGTTCTAGATATGTAAAAATAATGCCTTAAGTCTTCTTCTTCTTCTTCTCTCAGACTTCTTCTTCTCTGGGTTGTTCTCTCAAAATTTGTATATATAAAGAGAATTCTGCTAATATGGCACAGAACTAAAAATCAGAAAAGAATACAATTTGACCAATAATACAATTTGTCTATTTAATAATTAGAATTCTGCTAATAATAGCTTACCAAGTAATTCCACTTCATTATTGATCCGATGACAACTTTCTTGGTCTGGCCGGCTGTTGATGCAAGAACGTGGAATTACAACTTTCTGCCTAAAATTGATGAAGGACGGAATAAATAACAATTCATAAAAACAATTAAAAACTAACCCTAAAGTCAAGCGGTAGTGAAAAAAATAGCGATGAAGAAGCCACCGGAGAGATATGATATCTTCAAAATGGAAAAATAAGGAGAAATTTGACCTTGATATCCATGGATAAACAAAGAAGAAGGAGAAGGGAATCAGATCTGAACTTTCGGCGAAGAAGAGAAGAGACCTGACGTAAATTTCACGTTTCCATTCACTATAGTTTCATTCAGAATTAAGGATTCTCAGCAAAGAACAATGAATGGGTGTAGAACTCCTTTCTTTGGTGAAGAATAGACGGGAAAAATCTGCGTTATTTTGGGGAATAATCTTTGCGAAGAAATCTAGCCAGCGAAAAAGACAGATACTTTCTTTTGGAAGGTGAGGGTGAATAAGTCGAAGAAGTGATAAGGGAGAGACGGGTGTCAATAATACTGCCACATGTCAATATTCTAAAAAAAAATAAGAACTGCAACATGTCAATATTCTAGACATCAAACTCTCAAACTTATATATAAAGGATTTGCAAATTACCCTATATACAAAGTACAACATATTCTCGGTCAGGTGTGTTTTGACATTTTTCATTACACCTCTTATAAATTCGTATAGGTGTATACTAAAATATCCATGGATGACCCTATATTATGGTATAGGATCACGTCAATGCTCAACTAAGTTATGACATTATACGTATGCCCAGTTCGTTCCCAATTTTTACCGGTGATATGAAGAAAGTTCAATGGGATAAATTTCTGGCACATTTTGATAAATATGTAAACAGTTCGTATAGTAAGCTAATAAGTCAAATGAGAAGATTGGTTCTAATAAAACATGTGTTTGCCTCAATTCCTATACATATTTTGGCAGTACATTCCCTTCCAGTATTGGTGATTAAAGACACTCATCGAAGTCTATCTAAATTCCTTTGGGGTTTTTAAATTGGAATACCCAAATATCACTGGCAGACCTGGGAAATAATTTGCCAACCAAGTGATTTGGGAGGATTGGGAATCAAATCCTTGTTTGATATGCAAAAAGCATATTCTTATATGCTTTTGGGGAATGTCCAGAAAGGAGATAATATATGGTCAAACTTCATGAAAGAAAAATATCTAAGGAGAGGAAGCTTTAAAGAATGTGTTGGTGCCTCACAGATTTGGAAAAGAATTTGCAGAATTGGTGATAGGGCTGATGAATTCTGCTCCTATCATGGCAACACACTTTAGTGGGAGGGGGCAATCTATCCCTAAAAAGGCCTATGTTTCAGCTATTAAATTAAGATGGAATCATATTTTAACCCAACAAATACACATGGAACTCATACCAAACCTCACACATTTGGAAAAGAATTTGCAGAATTAATGATATGACTAACAAATTCTGCTCCTATCATGGCAAATACTACACTGGGAGGGGACAATCTATCCCTAAAAATGGCCTATGCTTCAGCTATTAAAGATAAAATCAGACTTTAATCGAGCAAATACATATGGAGCTCATATGAAATCCCCAAAATCAGAATATTTCAATGGAAATTGCTCTCTAATGCATTACCTTTTCCGAAAAATTTGAGTAATTGAATTAATATGAATCTTCATATCATACCTGCTACTGCTTGTGCTTCTGTCATAAAGATGAGGAGAGCCTAGATCATACCTTGATGAGTTGTACAAAGGTAAACAATTTAATATGAATCTTCATATCATACCTGCTGCTTCTCCGGAAACATTCAGTTAACATCAGAAGAACCTATTGAAAAACAAATAATAGGACACAACAGTCAACAGATTAAAGATTCGTAGTGTTGTTCTCATCGCGACACCGACATATCCCTTTGTCATTAATGTTGGTAGAATTACCATTTGAAACATATACCTTCTAATAACTATGAATTTGCCATAAACTCCAACCAATTAGAGATTTGATACAAACATAAATGAATAAAATACTCCATATACAACAAAATCAATAATACTCTCATTGCCCATACAGGATGTGTCTGTTCATTTAGTTTTAATTAGAACAGAAAGCTAAGAAGGGTTTCAATGCCTCTAAAATTCTACCCCCATGTTGCATCTGTGTGTTGAATCAAGAGCACAAAGCATTTGCCAAATGAACTGTTAAGGATTAGTAGTCTAGCCTTACCTAATGGCAAACAAAATACTTTACATTCACCCCACAAAGTGAACTGAATGCAAACAGGAAGCCTTCTAATGGCTACTTGAATGCTACATCACTCGATCCCATAAGCAATAATATTCTGTCCAGTTGCTCCAGTAGCATGTGCTTAAACCATATCACAAGACTAAAACACCCAAAATCCCCTATCAAAGCCTATAATTGAACAAAAACAGTAGAAAAAATATCCTTAAGGTATGTTAGATTGTTAGTTTTTAAATGGTTATCTTTCTTTTCCTTGGCATTCTTTTTATGAGCCCTTATGGAACATATGATATTAGTTATTTTCAGTGCACCTCAATCATTAGTTATTTTGACTCATGGCTATTTAGATTTCACAAAAAATGAGCATCTATTTCATCTGGTGGATGAATGATTTAAAATAAGATATTGTGTGTGAGTTGATGTTTTAGGTTGATAACCTATTTGTAAGTATAATACTCCGTAACAACTACCCATTTGAGGTATGTTTGTTTAACATAGATTTTCAGGCAACTGCATGTCATTTTCAAATTTTGAGAGTGAAATTCCAAAAATAATAAAACAACAAAAGCAAGTGTTAGTGGAATGATCTCAGTATTTATAGCTTTGCTTCTTCATGATTATGTGGCAAAACCCAGAGTTTTTTTAGAACAACAAAAGGTAGTGTTAGTGGAAGGATCTCAATTGTTGATGCCATCAGATTTCAACCAATAATTTTTGTCAAGAACACTGATTTGTTTAGATTTTAAAAATCATTCAAGGCAAATACTCTCATTGTTCTTGTGCAATTAGCAAAAAAGGGTTCTTTAAATCAACCAAGCCTCATAGTTCAGTTCAAATAAAAGTTACTTTTATAAGCTCGTAACAATACACACACACACACACAATACCACTGTTTAATATAGCTTCAATATCATTCTAACTCTCGTAAGATAAACCAAAGATAACTTCACACATACACCAACCTAAACCAAGGATGAAGATGAATGCAATTTTTTAAACTTTAATTTAATTAATATCAAATAATGTGGCTTCAATCCTCCAGGTCTATAAAGGATAAGAACATAATAGAGAAGCTTAATGGAGCAATTAAGCCAAAAATTGGCCCTGAAGATCTCATTAGCCCTACTGGCCTAAGATGAATATTAAGTTTAGTCATTTAGTTTACCTATAAATCCACTAATTTTTCTCATTTTTAACGTTTATACAACAAAAAATATACTTTTTTAAAACCTCTATCACCATTTTAATTCACAGAAATAAAAAATATGATTAAAATTGCACAATTTGCTAATCATATACATTTATATTGGCAATCAAAAATCAATCAGTTTACTTCTTAAAATATGAAGTTCTAATTTTGAAAAAAAGGGTATTAAAATTATCACCATCTTTCGTATAATTTCTATTTTCAACTCAAAAACATAATTGAACATACCAGATTTCCGCTTGTTGAAGTAGGATGGAGATCAAAGAGTAGACATAAAATTCATCCGCTTGCCAATGAAGGAGGGAGATCAGAGAGTAGGCATATAAATTCGTCAACTTAATGAAGAAGCAAAAAGATTTGAGATTGGCACATATTTTTCCAGATTTTTTGCTTAGAAATAACTAAAGAATGATCTTTTGTTTTTGAGATGGGGTAGTATCGGTTGAAGAAAGGGAAAATCAGTAAGGAAGGGAATAATATGAATAAGGAAGTTGAGTTCTAGTAGAAGCCAGTTTGTTGACTTTGACCTTCAGAGGGTCACCCTGCCAAGTGAGTGAATGACAGATAGTCAGACACAGTTAACTCCAATGAGGTATCAAACACTACTACTCAATATAATTGCAGGTATTTACAAAGGCGTGATTTAAATATAACAATACTGTGAAATACAGTTTTTAAGCTGCTCTCTGAGAAACACAAGTCAACAGGGATGCATTCAAGCAGAAACATAACTCAGACAGGCATTATACTTGTTACCAACCAAGGCAAGAGCATTAGGTCTGAATATAATCTGATCAGTATTAGTCTTCTTATATTATGTTACAAACCTACAGCAATCAATTTGATCTGAACCTGAACAGCTAAATTTGATTTCAACATACAAATCAATAAGTAGAACATGTGACTCTTACACACAAACATACTATTGATCTCATGACTGAACATCGAGATTCAAGCCTATACTTGGAATATCTCATATGGAGTACTGTAATACATCGAGCTGCTTAAATTGCTAGCCTTCGAGGCAATATATTCGTATGGAAGAATGAAGCAGTCATTACCGAGCCCATAAACTCTAAAAGTTCAAACCCTTCAGCAGAAAGGATAAACAGGATATGACATACCTGCGATTCAATAACCGGAACACCGGAAGAAATTTGAGCGGCTATTCAGGTTTCTGGCTTATTGAATTGCCGCTTCCCAACGTCTAAAGAACTTCTAGAGAGATCCCTTGGAAGTAACGGATGAAATATGATTCCATTAATTGAAGTTGATGAGTCAGGAAATACGGGCCAAATAAGCATCTATGTGGATTGCCACGTGTCAGCCCCCCTGTTAATTAACCCTACTTTATATATATATAAGATAAGATAGAGAGGCCAATTAATCTACATGACCTTACTCAAACAGTATGCTAAAATCATCATAAAATAACCATAAAATTCAAGGAAAAATCAGGAACATAGTTTCATAAATCCCTTAACCCAAAATGTTGTTCATAGCCTCAAACTATCATAGTTCCATAAGTCCTTAAACTCAAAAAATATCAATAACAGAAGAATAGCCTCAAACTATCATAGTTCATATTTACTCGTCGAGAATAGCTTTAAAAATAATAGAAGAAAACCTACTGTAAAAAACAAAGTAAATATAAGCATATACTTCCTTTCTATATTCAAAAGCTAGTTGACACCAACTCTAGGGAACAAAAATGAATTAGGAACAAAAAGTATGAATTCCAGAACAACATAAAATGAAAACGAGGCAAGCATAAATAACAACATATTTGATGATAGGGATACATTTATTCCTTACCAAGAGGAGAAATGAAAATCTAATGGAAGAAATCTAATTTGAACAGATTCATCATCAAGAATCAAACACAATCCCCACCTATAATTTTAAAATCTAAATATTTTTTGATGCTAGTGCTTATCAATTTTGATGAAATTTTTTCATTTTAACAACACAACTCATATATTCAATCTTTCAGGCTAAACAAAAANTTGATGATAGGGATACATTTATTCCTTACCAAGAGGAGAAATGAAAATCTAATGGAAGAAATCTAATTTGAACAGATTCATCATCAAGAATCAAACACAATCCCCACCTATAATTTTAAAATCTAAATATTTTTTGATGCTAGTGCTTATCAATTTTGATGAAATTTTTTCATTTTAACAACACAACTCATATATTCAATCTTTCAGGCTAAACAAAAAATAGAAATTAAAAATATGACAGTCGTGATTTGGTAAAAAAATAATGTTGGATTTGAATTTGAAAAATACAGAGTAATAAAAATGGTGCCGAAAACACGTGACACTTCAAAACTATACATTTGACGTTGAGAGTTAGCAAAAGAAGGGATAAAAGTAATAAACTGGATTGCTTGAATGCTCGTAAACTAATCTAGCAACACCAAACCCAACTACACCTGCAGTAAATTAATACAAATTATAAAATATATGCTCTCTACTGCTTACAAACTTCACATTAAGTATGATTAAGATTGCTGACTTATAAAATATATGCTCTTTACTGCATTGAGAGAAAAAGCATGTCATTTGTGCAGTGCACGGCAACCATTTTTTGCTCTAATTTCGGCTTCAATGCATGGAGGTTTGGAATTCTCGTCTTTGTACCATTCTAACCGAGATTGAACAGAGATTAAAGAACTTAATTCCTCTCGATTCTTGAATAATTGATAAATATGGTTTTTGGAAACATACGTCCTTTTGACACTTCGAACATTTTAGATCCGAAATACCTATTTTCACAAAATCGGAGACTTTCCTTCATTGATAGAATAGCTATACAATTCCTTTCCTTCGACGAAGAGATTACACGAAAAATCTGTGATAAGTATGTCAAAATCTCAATGGTGAACTCTCAAATATTAATTGGAAACTACAATTAAAAGAGCATACAAAAATAAGTGTTGACATATTGGGCAAAGTGTGGAATTCTATTATGAATAATTTGTTTAAGGGCACAAAAAAATGTTTAAGGTATTTTTTACAAACTTCAATAGAAACAACTTCATTTGCACAGATTTAAATCACTCATGAGCACGATAAGTATGTATAATCAAAAATTAATCCGTAATAAACAAAAAGCAATAGATTTAAACTTTATTTTTACAACCACTAAAATAGCACATATGATTCTTATTGGGTTCGAGTAAATTCTAATAAACACTTTGGTGAGTAAAGAACCAATCATCTTGATGCCCAAGGAACATGATAAACATAATATAGTAGAATCCAGGTAAAGGCATAATTCTTGGCACTTTTATGAAGTTCAATGATCTAATTTGCTTTCAAACACCAATTTAGAAAATGTTTTATCCTAAAAAATGTTATGACTGTTAAATGACATGAGAAATTATTAGAGTAAAGCTAAAAATTAACCAAGAACTTAAATTGCTTGACAAAAAAATGTACCAAAGCATAAAGAAACTTCTAGCCGGAAACTTCTGTCCACTCTGTTGCTTCGTTTACTGCATTAAGAATCCACAAACATCAGCATAAATTCCTTAATACGGAGTATATCATTATGCACTATAACTCATAAGCAAATATAAATACATTAGATAAGTACTGCATTAATTCCTTCGACATCTTCCAAATGGGCATGATGATGTAAAAACCTAATGTTGATTTGATGAAACTTTTTACAGAATAATAACGCAACCATGTTTGTTTCCTTCGAAGTCACCTAATCGTCACATATCTCTATGTTTTCTCATTATCCAAGATTAATCAAAATTCTTTATAAAGGAGTAACTATGTTGTTTCTCTCCCAAAATAGATTTTGAAGCTGCTTGGAATAACTTTGGAAAATGAATTTCTAACCAAATGCATTTTCAAAATTTAGATCAAATTATCATTGACAATGAAAATCAAGCACAACTCTGTGTCTTCTTTTTAACCATTCCCTATGGTGCTACAAAAAGGCATCTCAAATCCCTAGTCGATGCTATCTAGCCAATCGTGAAGCGTAATGGAATATCAGCAATCCTACTTGAATATCACCATCCGTTGGAATATCACCAATCTTACTTGAGAGGATGAAA